TCCCAAACCTTTCGTCGGTCTTCGTCCTTTGGTGCCGAAAAGAGCGAAATCTTCCACCCGTTTTCAACGCGATGGCCGGGGTAGCCTGACCGGCAACCCGGGGCGAAACAGTGCGTATCCGTCTTCTTTTTCTTGTTCATGGTGGTACCGAGAACGTTTTCTTCCAGCACAGAAAAAAGATACAAGAAGAATCAAAAGCCACAGCAGCAAAGCGCCCTGACAGCAGTCAACTCGCCGGTCGAGCCTGCCTGGCTGGCCTCGCGAATCTGACTGCAGCGCTACGCGCGGCGGACAGCTTTTTTTCGTCACAGCGCCTCCTATAGACGCCCGCTTCGCTCTTGCCACTAAAAACCTTCTAGTTCACTGTACTGGGGTGGTCATTTAAGCTGTGGTTGTGATGGGTTCTGGCCCCTGTGGCGTGAACGGCGTGAAGACTCGCAGCATTGTTGCCCTGCTTACGATCAGCAGCGCGCAGATGTAGCGTTCCGACTCCCGAGATAGTGCAGGGAAGTGCTCAGATTTCGCGTTTTTGACGAGCGCGTCTATTCGAGACACGGTCGGCTCGGCTGAAAAATAACGGCAAAACGAAATTTATAAACGTTGGTAAGTGGTCGCCCCTTCACGCTCCGCTCTACATTTTTCACAAGCGGAGCGAGAGCGGTGTGTTGGTGCGTTCTACTGTTCGCACGATTGTTCTGGGCGCCCGCACTACCGTTGCTTTGACGCATTTGTGTGTAAAGCGCGTCACGCGCACTTTAGCATTTTTTTTTTTCGCAGTGTAGTTCCAGCGTGCATGCGTTTGTGTGTAAATCGCTAGCATACGCGCAGGCACAGAACGCAGGTCAGACCAAAGGGGATACCTAAACGGTCAGACATGTCTACTCTTCGCGAAATGTTAACGTGCAGCTCGACAACCTAAGATATATTTCTCGTAAAAATACAAATTTGTTTACAAAATTCTTTTCACGTGCACTCCAAGTTTGATCAAGAACAGCGATGTCAGCGCCGGACAGAATTTCGGATAATAGGCGCGCGCGTGTGGGTGGGTGTGTGGGTGGGGAGGGGGAGTTGCGACTACAGAGAAAGTGGCTGCGACGAAAACTTGCCCCTCTGATGAAGAGATACCCGTACGCTTACGGTTAGGATTGAGGCGAGGACGTTGTAACGGTAGGAATCAAGATTGCCCACGGACAAGGTGAAGTGCATTTGAGTAAGGTGATGCACGCTTGTGAATGTTCTCCAGAGAGAATCGAGGCACCCCAGAGGTGCGTGCATCTTGTCCTCGCCAGGACCGTTGCCGTTAATTCAATTGTACGTGTCCAAGCAAGCCGTAATGTTTGAGGTCGCGCCACCTCAAAAGCGAGGCAACCCCGTTGCGTTCGACCGCCTTATGTAGTTGAAAAAGTCCCGAGTCATTTATCAAGTCATGCAACACTTGTGCTTCCTTGGACGCACGACAGCATGAGCGAACTATCCATCGCGGAAGGGCCATGTAAAATACGAAACTCACTTTTTCGGTTGCGGGCAAAAGCATTTCCCCCATGGAGGAAGGAAATGCCATAGAGTTAAATACAGTCTATGTAATACTCTACGGGAAACACCGTGGATCATCTCCCCGAAGGAAACCCTGATAGGATACGAAGCAGCAGCGGTGCGCACGGCGTTGACCCAGTTGAAACGGGCGTCGACGCGGGTGCTCGAAGAACGGTTTGAAGCGAAACTCGGTGTAGCATTTACTCCTGTAAGCGTTTGCTTGAAAAGCTAAGAGGCGGGACGCGTTGAAGACGCTTGCGCTCGGTGTTCTTGACTTGCACCTCGTCGGTGTCCCTGGTCTTCCACTGCCGACGCTTGCGTTCAGCTTCCCTGGCTCGCGCCTAGTCAGTGTTGACGTCACCATTCGCGATCGGCTTCGCCACCCCTGGCAACGCCAGCGACAACCGGTAAACGGTATGCGCACACTAACGGAATCGTGCCGCGAGGGCGTCCGCCCGTCGGCGCGGTGTCCACATTGCCGACGCCGCGAGATTTTCGAGGCGCGCACAGCCAGCGCACCCGCCGGCTCGCGGCTTCGTGGGAGAGAGGTGGCGGCGCGGGATGATGCCCATGTAAGAAGTGGGCTCAAGCGTTGGGAGCGGTGGAGAGGGTGAAGCGAGAGAGAGAGCTAACACGTGGCAGGCGAGGAAGAGAGACGTCACCACGTACTGCTAGGAGCTACTTGGCGCCACTCCAACACCTGCGGTGAGGGGGAGCGGTGCGGACGGAGGGACAGCATTACACAAGGTTAGTCAAAGAGCTGATTCGCTTATAAAAAGAGCTTTAGGAAGTCGGCGGTGGTGGGTTGAGCACACGGTGTAACATTCTTACACCGTGGTTGAGCCATTCCTCTCAAGTCAAACAGCGGTGCCGGCCCGACGCACAGTGCATTGGTTTGTGCGTTTGCGCGGCTGCAGTTTGCCTGCACTGAACACGCGCTTACGTAGCAGTGAGGGGTGGCACACGGGGCCTGTAGAGGAATCTCTCCAGCTTACGTCGAGACTATGTTTGAGTGTGTCGCGCAGTCTTGGCGTTTTAATGCGAGTGTTGAAGGGTCCTCGAAATTTTTTTTTTTTACATTTCATTTTATAGTTTAGACCACTACTGGTGCAAATCATCGGCCACATATTATGTTGTCCTTAGTATTGTGCGAAAAGTCTTGTCTGTGACCCAAAAAATTAAGATGCAAACCCGGGGCATCAGCGTAAAAAACAGGTGTTCTTCCGCTTGCTTGCCACACACCCATGCCGGCAGTATATTTTTTAAGGTGAATGAATCTCAATAAAATAAGCTGGGTACATTTTTATGCACGTTTCAGTCATTTCTGCCAAATTAGTCTAGTGAGATAAGTTTTAGTCTTTACAAACAAGTTTTATAGATTGCCCCAGCTCTCCAAAATGGCCTCCCACAATTATCTGCAACATAGTGTGCGAGCAGTCATCTACGGCAAACCGACAGCAAGAATTGATTACATCCTCTGCTGTCCACAAGGCAACGATAGTTGCATTTGGCCAATGCCTTCTTGCTTTAGAGTGCGAATATCAGTTTGTTGTGGGCCTGCATCCAATGGGTGGCATGTGGTGTTGCACTGTCGTTGATTGATTGATTGATTTGTGGGGTTTAACGTCCCAAAACCACCATTTGATTATGAGAGACGCCGTAGTGGAGGGCTCCGGAAATTTTGACCTCCTGGGGTTCTTTAACGTGCACCCAAATCTGAGTACACGGGCCTACAACATTTCCGCCTCCATCGGAAATGCAGCCGCCGCAGCCGGGATTCGAACCCGCGACCTGCGGGTCAGCAGCCGAGTACCTTAGCCACTAGACCACCGCGGCGGGGCTGTTGCACTGTCGTTGCACACGATTCCAGAACAGTTGCGAAACACTCTGAGCTAATGATTACCCTTCGTCTCTACATTGGTGGTACATGTATTTGCTCGCAGTGGCAGTTTACCGCACAGTAGCCGAGGAGTGAACATGCGTAAACATTTGTGAAAACACTTGTGAACGGTGGTTCGTACTTGGCTGGTATTAATTTCCTTCATCCCTGCCACCACTATTTTAAATGCCCTTATTGCCAAACTTATGCACTCTTCCAACAAGGATATTAACAAGCTCTAGTTAGGCTACAAACTTCTCAGTGCAAGCATTTTACCTGATTGGTGAAATACAAACTCCCGCTGCCTGGACAGGTGGCGTCACCCGACAGTGAAATGTGCAACCAGGCAAGCAAATAAGGTGGTTTGTCCAACTTCATCGAAGAGGAATGGCAATTTGAGTTGGCCTCATTGCGTGTCCGAAGAGTAGTTGTCATTTTTGGACAGTTCCGAGGAGCTTGCGCACGTAGCATGGTGAGTCACAGACATGGTACAGCTGTTGCGAGTAGCCTTTCCCTTGAGCGTCGGCTATTCTCAGCTTTGATACACCTTGCTGGCGAAACCCGCATGCCTTGCATGATTTTCGCTTTTTGCCAACTTCTAAGTCACAGGAATACAGTACTGCTTGCCTAGATTTTGGTGTTGCACTCTTTTGCTAATTTAAATCTACTGTCCAAACAGCAGAGAATTTCTGCTCAGGCCCATGAGAGGAGTGCCTCGGGAGTATAATGGCACCTTAGTTTTGCATGGTCAAGAAATCAATGGATGCAATGTTGCTGAATCACACGAGGGGCGAGAATCGCAGAAAAAGTAGGTTTAAAGGTCCACCTGTTACAAAGCACTCAGCCATACTTAATAATGATCAGCTGCAGAAGTATCAACAAATCACGGACAACTGCGTAGATTCCCGTGTTGCTTTAAGGAAGCCTTTTGTAGATTCGCAAAAGGAAGAATCATGGTGTAGTGGGCATTTTAGTGTATTTGAAGTTGGCATTCAAGGATAGCTTGAAATGGCCAATGTTATGTGTACATCAAAAGAGTTGACTGTTGGACGAGTTGGTGCTGTGACATAAAACCATCGTGAGAGCGCATGTAAACATGCACACAGGAAGAGACAGACGAGGACAGGTGCGACCTATTCTCGTCGCGAGCTTGTTCTCGTCCATCTCTTCATGTGTTTCATGTTTAGTTTTGCTCTCACGATGGTTTCTATGGTATGTGTACAGTTGTTCGTTTCCTTATGGCACAGGTCGAGACTTGCATGAAGACCAAGGTCAGGGAGTCAAATGAGGAGGCGATGTGCTGAATTATGCTATCACATTCTGCTCTTGAAAGTAAAGTTTAAGTGTTACCCCAACTTTTTTACCCTCCATATGCCTTGAAACATATTTGAGGTGATCTTTGGGGCTACTATGCTTGTTACGAAAGCTTGGCCTGTGATTGTGGTCTCAGCGTCCTGCATTGGTAATTCAATGGCATTACCCAACTTGCATTCACAATCAATGACCTCCTTTTGGGGTTCGTAGGTCACATGCCTTCTAATCCTTAAAGAGCACATAGTCAATAACAGAAATAAACAACACGGACCTGTTCAAGTAAATAGAAAGAGCCAGTGTATTCTCTTTTTTCACAAGCAACACACCATCCCCCAAGGACACCACATAAAAAAAAAAACATCACCTCCGCCCACAGCACTGTGGAGGGGGAGAAAGAAAAACATACGAGTCTGAAATAAACACACGTACATCTCTGGCCATAGAATGCTCGTAGTATTTATAAGTATGTATATAAAAAACCCCAGCCATTACATACAATTTCCTATAGACATGCAGCCAACTTTAGCCGTCAGTGGACAAAAATGAAGACACTGTCGAAAGGCTTGGGACAAGTTGGGCAGATGGAAAGGGGCTGAGAAAAAGAATAGAAGAAAAAAAAAAGCAACTGGCAAAGTTCACACACTTGTTGCTCTACAGAGCAATAGAAAGGATCCCTAATACTGTACAAGAGAGACGAAACAGAGGGGTGAAATTGAAGTTAAATCCTAAACGAAAAAAAAAAAAGGGGGGGGGGGGGGGGGCTTGACAAGGCTGGTAGTAGGTAGTAGTTGGTACTCCGGCGGTAGCGAACGGTAGCAGGGGTACAGGCATGGCGGTAGTCGTCTTGTGTTTTTTTTTTTTTTTCCTTGAGAAGAAATCAAGAGAAGTCGATAGGTAACATCTGTGGCTCTGTTGCATTCCTGTCTGTACACATCACAAATAAAGGTGGAGGAGGAGGAGGTGCTGGTGGAAGCAGGAACAGCAGCGCGGAGGCCTCCTGTCGTCCCTCTCGTCTCCTTAGGCAAAGCCGAAGCCTTCGGTGCACTCCTGGATGGCCTTGAGCAGCATGGTACGCAGCTTGTCGTAAGTCTCATAGGCCGGTAGATCCAGCTGGTTGAAGCTACGGAGGACGAGGAAACAGTGGTCAAAAGAAGTGTCATACCCTCATAGTTTGATAAAAGCAATTAACGGCAGATGCAGGTTTTTAGACAAAGTTGTACCATTTAAGCTTCAATGCACGCAAACAAGCTTTCTGTAGTGTTACAAAACGACTGCACAAACACAACTTTCCTAAGCTTCAGACAAACAGAGCTGGCCTCAATTTCAAACAGAAGCTAGTGAAATCTGCAAACCGTGCTAGAATGGCTTTCCGGAATTAGTAAAATTATGCAGCAAGACTTTACTCCAACAAAATTACCGTATTTACTCACATAATTCTCGCACCCCCCACATCGCCCAACAAAAATACTATTCTTTTTTTCCCCAGAGTAATTATCGAACCCCTGAAAACTGCCGCAATAATGTCAGTCTACTCATTCCAGCCACCACTGATGATGATAGCGCGTGCCATCCGGCGCCATCTCCTAAGCATCAAGCATACTATTCGTGCACTGAGTTTCAATCTAAGCTAAGTCAAAGTGGCAAGTGCGCGTTGCGGTGTGTTTTGTATGTTGTGTCGGTTATGTCGTCACATTATGAGGCGATACTGAAGCTACATGGCTGCTTTCAAGTTGAAAGTGATAGATCATGATCTAAGCAACGGCAACAGGGCCGCCAGTAGGCCTTTGGAAGTATACGAGTTGTGTTCGCTACTGGTGACGGCAGCTGAAAGCCACCAAGACGCATTGGGCCTGCCGTGTGCCTAAAACTGGGATTGATGGTAAACTATTTCTTCAGAAGGAAACTGCAGGACGATTCTGTTAAATAGTTATCAGCCCAATACTGACGTCCTATGCTTACCTTTTGAGGGCTCCTGTAACGCTACTTCCCGCGACACAACGCCCACAAGCTTTGCGTATGGTATTCTAATTTTGGACTATTTGCTTGCACTTTTTGTGTCTCTAATAAATATGGTCTTGTGTTGAACCTCTGCTTTTACTGTTGAGGTAAGTTGTAATTAGTACTTCTTAAACCTTCCTGTTAGTTGCTGGGGTGAGAATCCCCGATTTGAGGCCACTTCGTTTTCTTTTTTTCGCTCTGTACGTTTTCGTGGAACGTTTTCCCCGCGTAATTCTCACACCCCCCAACTTTGCGTCGGTTTTCTGGCAAAAAAAGTGCGAGAATTATGCGAGTAAATACGGTATGTCGAACTACTGAAGCCCTGTAACATACTTGCGAGTGAGTCAAATTTGACAAATTGCTATATATTTCACGAACCAAGACAATGCAACAGAGTTCCAGGTGAAGGGACTGGCTGGTTTTTCAGTGCACTAATTCAGCATTGCCTTGGCGCACCTGATGCCAATTCACTCGTTCGACGTAATGAGAAAAGGCATCATGCACTGGCCTTTTCAGATCTGCCCCACTTCTCCTATGAACCTATTTTTACTAAAAACAACTGTTAAAACCCGCCGTCATGACCCTAATTTTCAGGCCTCGCTTTATGGCAGCCTAACTAGGCCAAAGGCTGCAGCTACAGTCAACGAGCCGAATATCCCTCACCAAGTGTGGGCCGACGGCAGGCGGTCAGTGGACCGGTCGTCCCGATGGATCTGGAAGCGTTGGACACCGTTCATCCCCTCAAGGGCGGCAAAGCCCTGCAGCGGCACCTTGGACGTTCCTGTCACAAATTGGAGGAACTTGGCCCGATCCGCCTGATCCATTGAGCGCAGGGCACGCCAGAACCACTGAATCTGCAGGGAAGTGGCCTGATACTTGTGGTACTCTGTGTGAGCCCGCAGGTCATCTACGTCGATGCTGGGTAAACCCGAGATGAGCAGTTCAAGCTCCTGCTCGTTGAAGATGCCAATTAGCCGCTTGGGGATGATCTCGTAAAAGCCCTCGAGGAAAGCGTTGAGCTGCCGCCGGATGGCGCCCTGTCATCTTCTCCTGGCACACAAGGCGCACGTACTCCTGGGTTGTCTCCTCCGTGACGGGCAGGTGCCGGCCGCCGGGCTTCAGGTCGCGCACCTCCGTCACACCGAACTCCTGGACCTCTACGCTGAAGGTCAGCTCGTAGCCCAGTGCCCGCACGCCGTGTTCCAGAAGGAACACCAGGCCCTGTGTACGAGGCAATGAAAAGTGAGCAGAACGGCAAGCAAGGGATCTACAAACTGCAGCAGAGTGTCCAAAGCTGACACGAACTTTCGGAGCGGACTTTACCACACAAGTCTCCTGCATACAGAGACGTCTGAGCAGGTATGGAGCTCAGGAAATGCTATTTTATTTTATATTGACATTAAGGTCAATTTTGCCAGAGCAGACTTACTGCCATGGACACTAGTGCCATGTCGAACTACAATATTCATTCTGGTGATTTCACATCCTTGTGTAGCTAGTTGTGATTATGTCAGACACTAAATCATATTAAAATGGCCACTCCTGCCTCACCAATGCAGTACGGAGCAGAGCAAGCATTACCGATGGTCACCTTCCCCCCGTGAACCTATCTTGCCATAACCTCTTTGAGAAGGTGCATCATTATAGACTACTACTCTTTAGAATATTAAATACTAAGCCAAGCAAGTTCTGGTTCATGCTTTTATCTTGATGCAATCATTACTTTATAGGAAAACATTAGCATGAACTCAGGTTGCACACAAAGTGAGACAAGGTGGTGAAGATAATAGACATAATAAAAATGCCATGAATGAGTACACACTGGGATGCACACCGGAATAGAGTCAGATGACATTCAAGAGATTTGCAAGCACTGAACCATCGACATGCAAAAGCGCACCTGGTAGAACGAGTAGTCCTCGCTCTCCATGTCTGTGTATTTGACTGGCTTGCCCAGAATGTGCTTGTAGAAGGAGCGTGTGAAGTAACACTCGAGCAGCTTGTTGTCGTACACTGCCTTGGCAATCACACGTCCCACAAACTTGAAGTAGCTCAGGTGATTCGAGTTGCAGTGCGACGCCTGGGTTGATCATGTATGTCACCCGGTCGCCCGGCGATGTCGTGAACAGTGCATACATGGGGTTGAAGATTTCGCGGGAGATGATGGTGTACCACTCGCGGAGCAGGCCGCCAGCGTCCTGTCCCTCCTCGCCCTCGAAGACAATGTAGAAGCGGTTCTTCCACTCCTCCGGGGGACGACGGTGCAGCTCACGGAACGAGTCCTCGAAGACGTGCTCCCGCCTGACGTGAACCGCCAGGTCTTCTCGCCGCGAGCCCTCGTCGAGCCGCTCGAGCTCATGCCGGAAGTATCGCCGCTTGACGTCGAAAGTCGAGCACACGCGTGTGGTCAACAAGCACGGCAAATGGGCCGTCAGCCAGGGGAGTGCTCGACTGGCGCAGGATTTGGTTCAGCACCTGCGGGAAGTGAAAAAGAAGAGAACTTAGCAGAGCGGGTACTTAGTGCACAGTGAGGAAGAAGGAGCTATTCCCCTTAAAATTTTTTTGGCAACGATTGAGCTTTATCTGTTCCTCGCCAATCAGCAGCTTCTAACAAATATATGCTTACAATAAACATAGGATTTATAATTTAGTTTCATTGCAACATCGCCATAATGTTCGTCTCCAAATCGAATACCACAACTGCACCATGTGGAATTCCGGAATGGTTAGTGCATAGCTTTAGAAAGAAAGTAAAGTTTAGTAAGAAATGCACTAGACTTTCATTAAATGGAATCTGAAGGGACCAGTAAAATGTGTTCCGTTTACTGAGAGATGAATAGGGGCACACAATGCAAGAACGAAACCAATCTTGTGAGAAGCATTTGTGCCATTTAAGCCGCAGTTCTACGTTAAAGAGATTTCCGTTACCTGAGAGTTTACTATAGTTGACATTACCTTCCACTTTCACACCCGACTGTGCAGCTCCAGCACAGTGTCAATCCAGGTTGAAGGGCCCAAACTTTATTTGATACTTTCTTTTTTAACATTTTAAGCAAACATATGCATCAAGTTCAAAATCCTGTCACTATCAACAATGCCAAGCATGGTAGTGCTACCAGCTACAGGTGTCTCCAAAAATTCCAAGAAACAATCCTCCTCTTCAGGTCTTTTGGGAATCCTCGGCATTTGCTGCAACATCAACATTCTGGCCAGCTCATGTCATCCACAAAGAGCCCGCTTGCATGAAGGCGTACAAGCTCGCTTAAGCTTGGGCGAATAGTGAATTCCAAGTTCGAAGGGAATTCAAAGCCAATAGTGAGCTTAGTAGAATAATTTTTAATCGTATTCGAATATATTATAAAAAGCAATCAGCATATTTGTCATGACCTAACCTGCACAATAGCCTCTTTAACAGTGAAATGAGGCCTTCACAAATGCCATATTTTAGTAGAAAAAACCTAAATACAGCATAACATCATTACAACAGACCTCCATGTGAAGAGGATTTCAGCCTGTTGTGGAGGGAGTTTGTAAAATCCAAGTACTGTTACAACAGACTTTTATGAAAACATTGAATGGGTCTGTTATAACTGGAGAGAAGTGCGAGTCATACAAATATATTCTGAATAGGGAATGAAAAAAATCGACTTTTTGAAAATATCATCTTTAGCTTCTAATGTAAAATTTCCAATTTCAAAATATCTTCATTGAAGATTATGTAGAAGTGCTCTAAAAAATTTCTTGTGCCTGCCAAGATGGTTAAAACCATTGTTGAAGTCATCGAAAAAAAGAAGAAAGGAAATTAATAGCTTCGCAACGGCACAGCTGCCCTATCGTAAAAGTATTTCATAAAAGAACATTACATGTTCAAAAAGCAGATGTTTGAAATTTGTTCCGACGCCTCCAATAGGCTGCTTCTGTCGTGTTGCTCCAGTACGCCTCGCTGGTCCTACGCTTGTTCCGGGACACGCCTTTGAGATGGCATCGTTCGCTTGTGTGTTGCGAGGACGTCGCTGTCGAAAATCGCGCTGCTTAGTGACGTTTTCCCACTCTTTCTGTATTCACGCGTTGACGATAGTTCAGGATACAATTACGCCTAAGTTAAGGCAGCACCAAGCAGAAATTCAGTCATCAGATTACGATTGTGCGCCGCACTCGTCGTGAGCATCGCACACGCGAGTCTCGGTTGACTCGTTGGCGGGAATAGGTACTGCTTATCAGCGTTTCAGACCTGTGACTAAGACCACCACAAAACAAATATTTGTACTCGTGATCGAGCTCGTCGTAGTTTGAAACATTTGGCGCCGTGACCATGCACATTGAAGCCACACTTTCTGCTCGAAGTTGTGCCTAGGCCTAACTCTGCTCCAAACTTAGCGGGCAAGACTTCGCGCTAGTGGATATGCGAAAGCGAAGAAGCTGTAATATGCTTCATTGCAAGCAACGAATCATATCGGCCGCTGGCTACTTACAACGACTAGGCATTCTGCTTGTCGGTAGCAGACTCTGGCCAATCTCGCCGCGCACCGACCACTCGGTCAGCAATGAGCTATTTCACGCATCAGCGCCTCAACACACAAAACCAAGCACACTGCACGCGGATTTTTCGTCACCGTAGCTAGACATAAGTAGTTATTAGCAGACCCCAGATCAGCGGCCTTCGTTTTTAAATCATGACGAAACTTCTATTTCCTCATTGATCAAAAGAAGAAACTGAAGAGAGAAGCTATGTACGCAAGCCTCTGGAAAGGTGTGAGCTTACCGTCCTGTGCGTCTCAGCGAAACCCAAGAACTTCTGGACATCTGGGTGAAGGTGGGCATCGGCGGGGCGTTCTGCGCCAGGTGTGGCGGGTGCCTGGCCGTCCTGCTGTTGCGCCAGGGGCGACAGGGGAGCCATCTCCTGGTGGATGTGTGCCAGCTGCGTCTCGCGGCTCTCCGAGCGATACTCGCGCCGCCGGGGAGCCACGTCCCGTGAGCTACCCACAGACGCGCTGCCACCTGTGGCCGCAGCAGCCGAGGGGGCGCTAGCGTGCACCAGGAAGAAGGCCTCCACGGCTGGCTGAAGAACCAGCACTGCATGCTGGTCCTGTGAAGCACCGTAAGCGACAACTTATTAGGTATGTCACATTATATCCCACTGTCAGATTAATGGTTATGCATAGCACGAAGAACAACACTCCAATTGTAGATGGCTGTTAAAACTGCACTAAGGTTACAGGCACAATTGGGCTAGTTGGTTGATCTTCGTGGTAAATGCAGTGCAAAAATACAGCAACTTGCAAAAAAGAGCAACACAGGAAAGGTGCTAGACTAGCAACTAGAAATGGTTCAGTGCCTATCCCGCATTGATCTTGTGTTTTTTGCTTTCTTTCTTGCACTTCAATAATCATAAAGTTATAGAGGATACACTGTACAAAAAGAACAACAACAACTACAATGTGGAGTGATTTCTCACATTTTCTTTTTTTTTTAAGTACAACATGCTTCCATGAAACACCTGGAATTATGACGAAGCAACTAGCCCAATACCTTAATTTTCTGAAGATCAAATGGGGTGCTGTTACAACGGCACGCAATTCAGAAATCATGAAGCTGCAAGGCAGTTCAACATTCCAAAATCTACAATTTCTCATAAGTGCCCTAGAGGAACTCTGCCGCTAGTGTCTATGGGAACTGTAACGTAAAGCGCTTCAGCCAGCATGTGAATCATGGGTAGTGCTCAAATTTGTCTAATCTTTGCGCTTTCGGCTTCGTTTGGCTTCACCTTCAGCCAGCATGTGAATCATGGGTAGTGCTCAAATTTTTCTAATCTTCGTATTTTCGGCTTCGTTTGGCTTCACCTGTCTTGACACTGATTTGTCACGAGACAAAAATCAGCAAATGTTCAGGAGTCGCTCCTCATCACCTCAACCTTTTAGGCTCATCAATTCAAATCCTGTCACTTCATCAAAACAGTACATTTATTTGAAACAAAACTAAAACACGGCAATAAACAAACCCACAAGTGCATTCAAAGCCCGCAAGCACGAAGACTAGACAAATTTGTGTACTACCCACCATTATCATAGTGGCTCAACGGTCGCAGCACCAGAGCCAATATTAGAAAACTATGATAAAATCCACAAATCCATGGGTGGTGCAAAAAGCACCACCCATGCATTGTTACATTTGCAGTCTGTGGGGATCTGAGGCGCGCCTGCGCCCATTTTGCGGGTATTCCGCTGCACGGCCACCCCCTTTTGCTTTTCCTGCTCTGATAACGACACGTGGCGATAGATGGCGCCACGTGCGGGCGCGACACGCGGTATGCGCGCGCCGAGGGAGCGCTCTCTTCTCCGTGGTCGGCGCCGGGTAAGCACGTGTTTTCCTTCGTCCGCGTCCCCTTTGAGAATCGCTGGACTGTAGCTGGCCCAAGGCCACCCCAGGCAGGCTACAATCCGGCTACAGGCAGGCTTGAGTGCTAGCTTCGGTAGCATACGCTAAGCCCACAGCGGTGCCTAGTGCTTGAAGTGGTCGTACCACAACGAGCCGCACTTGCCGTAGGCCTACGCATACGAGGTTTGCCCTAACACTCGCGACCAGGCCCAGTGGCCATCATGAGAGTGCGCAGCATAGCCGCGAGGGACCTTTTCCCGACCGGCGTGTCAAAGCTCGCCATTGCCAGCTGCGACGTGGGGCACATAGCGAGGGAGTGCTCCGCGTTTGTGCCTCCTGTGAGGCAGGGAAACGGGAGCGCGGGCCGTTCGTGAAAGCACGAGCGGCCGAACCCTTGCTTCTCCCCTCTGCGTACCGGGCAAGCAGTCTTTCCGGGGCGCCTGCGCCGTTTATTTCGGTCACCATTGTCGGTCGCGAATTCTCGGCGTTGCTGGACACGGGCGCAAGCGCTTCGTTGTTTGGCGAACAGGTGTTGTCCCACTTGCAGAAGCGCTCGGTGCGCTTGCGGGACAGCCGAACGACATTCACCCCCGCGAAAAGCGTGGCCCAGTCGGCGGGCGCCGCGAGGTTGACTGTCAGATGGAGAGGCCGAATGAGACGCGCGCGTTTCGTTCATCTTCCAGGGCTCAGTGTTCCTGTGATTCTCGGTCGGGACTTTCTTCTAAAAACCGGTATCGTAGTGGACATTGCGAATGGAGGCTATCGCGACGGACCTTTTTCCGAGCTAAAGCAGTTCATCAGCCCACCGGCGCTTTCTGTTGCCTGCGCAGTTGAAGCGTCGAAACCGTGTCACGTGCAAACTTCGGGGGCAGGCCCCTGCGCTATGCACTCGTCAGCTCAAAATCCCCATCGGGATTGAGCAGCACGACACGATGAGGCTCCGCATCCTTTGATCGCCTGTGCGACTCAATTGAATGATACACAGAAGGCTCGTCTGTCGGCATCGTTACGCGAATACGATGAGCTTTTCACCAATCAACCCGGCTGTACCGATTTGGTGAGCCATTCGATCGAAACTGGCGACGCGCTTCCTTTGAAGTGTAACCCCAGGCCCGTCAGCCAGGCCAAAAGGCAGGTAATTGACGGCTTGCTGGACGAGATGCTTTCAGCTAGCATTGTTTGCCGTTCGTCCAGTGCCTGGGCGTCTCTAATTGTGTTGGTGCCTAAGAAAGATAGCAGTCATCGCCTGTGCGTAGACTACCGCCGTCTCAACGGAGTGACTCGTAAGGATGCCTATCCGCTCCCCACAATTAGCTCCATCGTAGGAAACCTCGGCACTACGCGGTATTTTACCACATTAGATGCCTCCAAAGGTTACCTACAGGTCTGGATGGATGAGCGTGACCGGTGCAAGACCGCGCTCACGTCCCACAGAGAGTTATTTGAGTTCACTCGTATGCCCTTTGGTCTTTGCAATGCTCCTGCGACTTTTCTGAGACTCATGGACCGCGTCCTCAGGGAAGCAAAGTGGTCTTACTGCATGTGCTACCTCGACGACATCGTGATTTATTCACGGACCTTCGAAGAGCATTTGGCCCACATTGCCGATGTGCTCGAGAGGGTGAGAGCCGCCGGGATGACGTTAAATCCCGCAAAGGCCCAACTAGCGCAAACCCGAGTTCAGTTACTTGGCTTCACGCTGGGCGAAGGCTCCATTGAGCCAGATCGGGAGAAACTTCGAGCGATCCTCGATTTCCCCGCGCCCAAGGACGTACGCGGTTTGCGCCGCTTTCTCGGAATAGCCAATTTTTACCGGTCTTTCATTCCGTCCTGTGCCCGAGTGCAGGCGCCCTTGACGAAGCTCTTGGGTAAGTCAGCTGAGTGGCGATGGGGACTTGAGCAGCAAGAGGCGTTTTGCCTTCTGTCTAGCGCCATTGCGGAGACGGCGCAGCTTAAGCTCCCCGACCTGACCAAACCGTTTGTTGTCCAGACTGACGCAAGCGATCTGGGATTAGGAGCAGTTCTCCTACAGGAATACGATGGTGTGTTGCAGCCGCTGGCCTTTGCCAGCTGCTCGTTGATACTCACGGAAAGGAATTATTCCGTGACCGAGAGGGAGTGTCTCGCCATCGTGTTTGCACTGCGGAAGTTTGATGTCTACCTCGATGGGACAAAATTTGTGGTGCAAACAGATCACAGCGCGCTTAGCTGGCTGATGCGGCTCCGTGAGCCTGCAGGCAGGCTAGCGCGCCGGGCTCTCCTAATACAGCATTATGATTTTTCAGTGCAGTATCGGAAGGGGAGCACTAACGTGGTAGCTGACGCGCTATCTCGTGCCCCAGTGTCTACCAGGAGCCTGGATCCCAGTGCGACAACCGCTAGCGGTGCCTTTGCGCAAGCGAGCGGCGCGAGCGAAACGGCGGCGGAGCCGCCGAGTGGAGAAAAGGGTGAGTGCGCCCACGAGCAAACCCTTTCTACGGGCCAGGCAGAGGGGGAGAGGGGGAGCGAAAGGGAAGCGAACCCGTGACGCCAATGTGAGCAGAGGCGATGGCTGCAGTCCTGAGTGGGAACGATACCAAGCTCCCCTTTGGGAGAATGGGAATCGCTTTCAGCAGACAAGAGTTACTGAAGGCCCAGCAAGATGATCCGTTTTGTCGCGAGTTGAGCGACGGTCTCAGGAAGACGGAGCACCGAGACGCTGCTGGTAGTGCGGCGGGCGCAGGGGGACGGGAACCGGCGTGTGTCGCTGGGTTTCTTGCGGATACATACTTGCTGGACCATGATGGACTCCTGCTGAAATACATAGCCACCGATGAGGAGTCAGTGGACCCGTTTAAGGTGGTTGTGCCCAAAAGTCTGAGAGGCGCACTGTTGCGACACAAAGAACCATTGCCGGTCACCTGAGTGGCTCTAAAGTTTTTGCGAAACTGAGCAAGGTTGTGACTTGGCTTGGCATGAAGCGTGCCATTTTTCGCTATTGCCGTTCCTGCCATGTCTGTCAAACGGTGAAATCAAGGGGTGGCAAGCCGCCCGGCTTGATGAAACCGATTGTCAGTGAGCATCCGTGGCAAGTAGCCACCTGCGATCTAACGGGGCCGTTCCCCAGGAGTAAGCAGGGGTTCATACATCTGATGGTAGTTGTTGATAATTTTTCCAAATGGGAGGAGCTGTTTCCGCTGCGGAGAGTTACAGCGCGAGCGGTGCTAGAGAGGCTACAGGAAGTGTTTTGTCGGTTCGGCTTTCCGAAAAGATTGATCACAATGCGTCGTATTTCACCGCTCGGGTGTTTGGCGATACGTGCCGTTCCCTAGGAATAGATCAGTGTGGCAACAACTTAAGAAATCACCGACCCCTACACCACCTTGCACTTTGGAGGTGTTCGGAGACTTGCGGTCGTTAGGCAGCCCGGTTGCGCCCTGCTCTCGACCATCGTTGATAAGCACTGCTGGCCTTTCTATCACGGCTCCTGCACAAGGCCAGTTGTCGCAGACGCTGTGCACGACTCGACCGACGCCGCAGGACGCTTCGCAGCCAGTGGATTTGGCGACCATTATTCCAGCAGAAGGGCCAGCTGTCGCAGCGAGGTTCATCCGAACCTCCACCGAGACGACGTTCGTCGGACTCGCAGGGCTGTCGTCAACATCGACGAGACGAAGGTGAGCCCGTTCCTCGCATCAGGGCCTCAACCAGAACCCTCCCCTTGCACTCTCGCACCCACGCAGTCACCCGAGTCAAACATTACGTGACGCTGCCCCTCGGAGCCGTGGACGCCCTCTTGCGTGAGCATCATGAACTCCCGTTACCCCTCTTCCGCGGCGCCATTTTATTTCTGAAGTGTATTGTGTGTTGTTTTTTTTTCTTCAGCAGCAGTTGCAGAGTGAGGCTGAGGCTAGCTGTTGCCCATTGAATGACTCCTTTGCATGCATGGGCGACGACCGGCTGCCTTTGCAGACCGGTATATAGGGTGAATTAAGGAGAGGAGGATGTGGGGATCTGAGGCGCGCCTGCGACCATTTTGCGGGTATTCCGCCACACGGCCACACCCTTTTGCTTTTCCTGCTGATAACGACATGTGGCGATAGATGGCGCCACGTGCGGGCGCGGCACGCAGTATGCGCGCGCCGAGGGAGCGCTCTCTTCTCTGTGGTCGGCGCCGGGTAAGCACGTGTTTTCCTTCGTCCGCGTCCCCTTTGGGAATCGCCGGACTGTAGCCTGCCTGGGGTGGCCTTGGGCCCCTCGGCAGGCGTGTTTACTCGAGTGCTAGCTTCGGTAGCGTACGCTAAGCCAACAGCGGTGCCTAGTACTTGAAGTGGTCGTACCACAACGAGCCGCACTTGCCGTAGGCCTACGCGTACGAGGTTTGCCCTAACACTCGCGACCAGGCCCAGTGGCCATCATGAGAGTGCGCAGCATAGCCGCGAGGGACCTTTTCCCGACCGGCGTGTCAAAGCTCGCCATTGCCAGCTGCGACGTGCTCACGGTTTTTCCCCTTATTGTGAACGTCCGCGTGCGGGTGCCTTTGCTACCCGCGTCCCGGGAGCGGACGTTGTACTGTTGTTCGGGGTGCCGCCAGAGGCAATGAAGTGTTGTGTATTTTTGCATTAGAACACTGTCTGTTTGTTGCATCGCGCTAAACGCCTTATTAGTTGAGCGCGCGCTGAGCGGTGCGCTAAACGCGAGTAAACGGAATAGCCGCCTTGTGGCTCGCTAAGCGTGAACCCGCGGTGATCGTCCGCTGCAGTTAGTAGCGGGGTCACCATAAGTCACAAATGTTTCTTTCCATGCAGCACAGCTGAAGGCTATGTGCACAGAGCCCTCTCTCATAGCGTTGTCGGGTGCTCTGCCTCTACCGGTTTTCTGTGGTGCTTGACGCTGCACCACACTTTGGAACTTCTGCGACAGCCCTGAAGTCCTAAACATACAAGTGCCTCTGCACCACACTTCTGCCAAACTGCGGGCCTTAAGAACAGGGTTCAAACCCCCGAGCTTAGCAGAGAAATGCTATGGCCATGAAGATGCTGTGGTAGACACAAATATTGACTACACAAAGAACCAACAAGTTTTGACTGAGCTGAGAGTTTCTGAGTTTGCCGAAAACCTAAAATAACTTTGCAATATCCAAAAATTCATCATGACGTATATTCGTAGCTTTGCATCAATGACAGAGCTATTCATTTACTTCATTATAACCGAAAATATGGTTATTATAGAGAGCTCGGAGTGTACCTGCGTGTCGGCTAACTCGAGCAGGCAATCACTGAGGGTGCTCCAAAGGGAATCCAGCTTCAGCTCCTCACTCAGGGGCAGCGGCTCGTCTGTGGCACCAGCTTCCGATCCTGGTACAGAACCTTGCCGGGTCGGTGTGGATGCGGCCAACGGTTGTGCAGAACCGTTCTGCCCATTCGCTGCAGCCGGGCCACCAGAGACTGTGAGAACACCACGAGAAAAAAAGGCGGGGGGTCAAGAAGTCAAGTTTTCTGTTAACACAGCTTACAACTAGCACAGACTTGCTTTGTTGAAAGAAACAAGCAAGCTGAAGAGCTAGCAACTAATAACACAACGCAGTATAATGTCCAAAAATCAGGACTAATATGAAGTCGAACCCCTTTATATAAGAGACACTGACGTAACAGACAAATGGGTATGAGAGACATCTGCAAACCTACATTGAAAGATGTTTATAGAAAAATGGATACATGGTACCCTGCTTATGAGAGACACATGATATAAAAGACAAGAATTGCTCCACATTGCATGTCTCTTATGAAGAAGTTCCACTGTAACACAACAACTCAGGTCTAACAGATTCTACACCAATGCCACATTTCTCATTCATGCATGGATCACACTGATAACGCAGGTGGAGTGTCACTTTGGCCACTGACAATGTGTGAAAGGGAATTGCACTAACATACAATCTTTTAGGTTATTCTGACTCCCCGACACGAATCATGTTCACCGTGGGGTTGGTAAGACCACTCTCTGTGGTTGTCTCTGCATGAACCGTATTTACTCGCGTAATCCTCGCACTCGCATAATTGTTGCACCCCCCACATCGCCCTCCAAAAAATACGATTTTTTTTTTTCCTCGAGTAATTATCGCACCCCCGAAAACTGCCGCAATAAAGTCGTCTGCTCGTTCCAGCCATTGATGATGATAGCGTGCACCATCTGGCGCCATTTCTTAAGCATCAAGCGTACTATTGCACGGAAATTCGATCCAAGTCAAGCTGAAGTAGCCAGTGCGCGTTGCGGCGTGTTTTGTGTGTTGCGTCGGTAATCTTGGCACGTTATGGGGCGATACTGCAGCCACACGGCTGTTTCAAGTTGCAAGTGATAGATCATGCGCTAAACAACGGCAGCAGGGCCGCCGGTAGGCCCTTCGGAGTCTACGAGCTTTGTGTTCGCTACTGGTGACGGCAGCTGAAAGCCACCAACACGCGTTGGGCCTGCCGTGTGCATAAAACTGGAATTGATGGTAAACTTTATTTCTTCAGAAGGGAACTGCGGACGATTCTGTTAAATAGCCATCAGCCCAATACTGAAGTCCTATGCTTACTTTTTGAAGGCTGCTTTTGAGCGCAGACTGCTACCGCTACGCCCGCAACGCCAACAAGCTTCGCTTATAGTATTCTAATTCTCGACTATTTGCTTCCACTTTTTGTGTCCCAAATAAATCTTGCCTTGTGTTGAACCTCCTCTTTTATTGTTGAGCTAAGTTCTAATTAGTACTTCTTAAAGGTTGCTGCAAGTTGCTGGCGTGAGAATCCCGATTTGCGGCCACTTCGTTTTCTTTTTCGCTCTTTGCGTTTTCGTAGAAAGTTTTCCCCCCGTAATTCTCGCACACCCCAACTTTGCATCGGTTTTCTGGCAAAAAAAGTGCGAGGATTATGCGAGTAAATACAGTATATTATGAAAAATTGACTAAGCATGCTCCATCTACAGTATGTCTCACAAAATGTACCAGAGAGAATGTAATGCAAATTCATGGATTTTACAGCTAGTGCTACGACAGAACATGAATTCAGAATTCATCATTCCTAAGATCTAAACGAAGCTTTTCTGTACACTGCAAGGCAATTAATTAGGTAGTTGCAAACTATATATTTGCAAAGTCACGAAGCCATTCATAGCCAGCAGAACAAAGTTTTAGTAAATTCAAGTGCGTGTGCAAATCCCAAGTGCTCTAACTTCAGTTCCCAAGCCAGCAGAGCTACCGCACTTGTATTTTCTATAGACACTAATGCCGAAGGAGCTCTATCTAGAAATTTTATTGTTAGAAGCCATATCACTGGCTCAAGTTCATTGGGGCTACAGGATCAGAGGATATACCGTATTTACTTGCATGATTCTCAGTTTTTTTTTTCGTGGAAAACTGGTAAAAAATTCAGGGGTGCGAGAATTATGCGGGGAAAATGTTCTGCGCAAATGTACAGACCGAAAAAGAAAATTAGGTGGCCGCAAATCTGGATTCTCACACCAAGAAACTGCCAGCTTTGAGAAGTACTAATTAAGACTTACTATAAAAATAAAACTACAGGCCCCACACAAGGCAAAATTTATTTGAGACACAAAAGCCACAAGCAAATGATTCAAAACACAAAAGTTGCAAGGAAATAGAGCAGGGTCCGTGGACCCTAGGGGATCTGCAAAGCCATTTCTATGACCCGGGAAACCCTCACCCACATTTTTCTTCAAACAAGACTGTGCCACGCTGAGCTGTCCAAAATAAAGTGATGTGGCACGTTTGTTTGATGTTTTTGGTAGCAATAAAAGGCACCTGTTTCACGCTCCAGTTGTGCTAATTTACCTACATCCCCCCCCCCCTCTCCTTTGCTGCAAGGGGTCCCCCATCACTTCCACCAGTTTACAAGGGGTCCCTGACACATCCATGGCTGAGAACCACTGAAATAGAAAATTGGAACACCGTACACACAAAGCTTGTGGGCGTTGCGGGCGTAGTCTTAGCAACAGTCACTTAACGGGAGCCCACAAAAGGTTAGCATACGACGTCAACCTTGAGCTGATGGCCATTTAATACGAAATCGTCCACAAGCTTTATTACGATTTTACCATCCACCCCAGTTTTAGGCACATAGAAGGCCCGAACGCGTATTGGTGGCTTTCAGCTGGCGTTGCCAGTAGCGTACGCCCCATAGTGAAACAACTTAACGGACACAACGTACAATACACGCCGCAACAAGCACTTTGGCTTGGCTTGAATTAGATTGAGGCTCCGTGCATTGATAGTAGGCTTCATGCTCAAGAGATGGCGCAAGATGGTGAGCGCTATCATCATCAGTGGCATGACTGAGCAGACGACATTACTGGGGCAATACTGTAGGGTACAATGATTGCTTGCAGAAAAAAGAAATTATTTTATTTTTGTTGGGAGATCTGGAGGGTGTGGAAATTATGCGAGTGCAAGGATTATGCAAGTACATATGGTAAAAGATAATTGTGGAGACGTGAGATAATGGCAGAGTGCAGGCTATTCTATTTGCAGCCACAATTCTTGTGGGAAATGCTACATCACCTCCTACGAAAACCATAGAACGAAGCTGCACCATGTTTTGTCGTGACACCGTCCCCTCATCAAAACCCTGCCTGAGGTGAAGCAAGTGCTCACCGCCAGCACCATCGACATCCATGTGGTTGTTGGCATTAGGCTGCACCGGGTGTGGTGTGCGCTCAGCAACGGGTGTGCTGGTGCTGAACGACTCTGTCGACCACGAGAAGGCCAGGGGCTCTGCCGACGGGGGAATGTCACACGCCCCCGACACTGCGTACACACACACACACACACACACACAGACAGACATGCCGGCGCTGAAGTGGCGGAAACTAAACCTCTCCTGAGCGTACCACGTGAGCTGCTCTCGAGCAGAAAAAACTTGCCCTTGCAAATTGGGCAAAGAAGCAAGAGATAGACACCTTGAATTACGTGTACTGTTGGCATCAAAAGTTTACAGACAATAGATTCTGCATAAAAACAATGCTTCAGAGACTACACTGCATCCTGTGGCAGCCTAAGAACACAATGGCTTATGTACTGCGATCTAGCCCAATGGCTGAAGAGAGGTGACATAGAGGCTAAGTGAAAGGCATTTGCTTATGCTTACATGGGTGTATTTCTATGCTGTGTTGAGCGAGAATGTTTTACAATTAGATCTTACAGCAAATACAGGCCAATTACATTTACTCGCTTGAGTGGTCTTACGATAGACATGAACTTTTTCAATGGCTGCATTTCCCGAGTCTTCAATGTGCAGAGGCAGAAAATGAAAAACTGCACTTTAGTGGGAAGAGTGCATGCTTATGTTCTAAGCAAGTATAGTATGTGCAAATACAAAAAAAGTGTTGCATTTTATTGGCCAGGGGCACAAACTGCTGTAACACTTCAAGGTCATGGAACTCACACCTGGAAAGCTTTTGATGCCAAATGTCTGTCATGAGTATGTGTGTGTGTGCACGCACCCAAGCTTTTTGACAACAGCCTGAGCTCACTTGAAAGGCAGATGAAACAATAAGCACATCACAATTCGAACAGGGTTTTAGGCTGTTCCCTTCAGTGAGCCATCAGCCATGCTGCTTATAAACTTTTACAAACTAGATGAGCTGCCAATATAAACTGTGGTTCACTTTCGTATAGTGCAGTTTATATTGATAATTGCAAAAAGGAACTTCAAGGCAGAGGTTCTGAGTACATTCTAATGTACATGGCATTTCTTGTGCAAAGTTGACATTTCTGCCCAAATTTCCTAAAACTTCTACCAAATTTTGCAAAATATCTGAAGACTTCAACAAAGGCCTTGCCTCCAAGGTCACAAAAATTGGCTGTGTTCGAATGCAGCAAACATCTGAATCGTGTATGCGTTAAGAGATTGCCCAGCGTAAGGAAATTCTGAGCTTGTGCAAATTTGCTTCAATATGATTTAAATTGATGTAAATTTCGAAGTACTATTAGAAATAAACGATGTATTAATCCACATGTAACCCTCCCTGTAAAAGTGGTTTCACTGCAGCGAAAAGGTGCTGTACCATGAAAATACCTTTGCAAGAGAAACCCGCACTGCCACGAAGCCCCACATCCAGGTTAAATGAACGTATTACAGTATCGAAGGGACCTCTGAATTTTGTTTGAATTATCAAGAAGTTTGAATAATCAGATATTCTCAGATGACACTGGGTGAGGTGACACCACATGTTATGATTAGGCATTGATTTTATCACATTTATAAATGTTTTTAAACTGTAACTGCACACAACGAAGAGAAAGCACAGGTGTAAGGTCCGCTAGTTTATTTTTGCATTCACTGCTGATCTGACCTTCTAGAGAAATCATGCACTGCCAACTGCTTCTTTGCTAGAGGTATGTGCCTTAAGCTCAAAGCTCTCTATACCAGTTGAGAAGCGTCACGGTTTACCATGCGTGTGCTTTGTTTCAAACATTTATTTACTAGCAAAGCCTTTTTCCTTGAAAACCTGAGGTGCCTATTTTACGTTTTTAGACTGTTAGGATTATATAAGCCCACAAATTTTTAAACAGTAGTGGGAAAGCAGCAGATATTTTCTGGTATGGAACTGCAAAAAGTATGAATTAACCGAATGATGGAGTTTAAATTAAGAGGCTTTTAAATACATTGGAAGAATAGAAGGCCAACTGAAAAACTAATTTTTATTTGAATTAACCGAAAGTGTAAATTATCTTAAAATTATCGAGAGTCTACCGTACTCTCACGTCGATTCTTCCTTTTTCAAAGTTTAAAAGCTTGTTATGCCGGCTTGTTACTATTCACTTTTACTTTGCATACGACAAAAAAGGAGCAAAGAGTAATTAGGAGAGACACTGGTCTTAATGTTTTTTTTTTAATTTTGAGTATTTAAAGCTAAAATTTTTTAATGATATGCATTTTCACAGCTGAAAACAAATATGCAATTAGTTTTCAGCTGTCACTTCCAGATTATAAAATATCTATTCCTTCATAAACTTACATTTTGCCCACTGCTTCCTCGTAAAAGATTGCTGCAAATTAGCTATCACAGTGTTCTGTAAATAACAGGGAGTGCAAAAAAACCATAATTTTATTTTTAACTTCATTGCTTCAGAGTTATGGGCCGTAACAAGTAGACTCATCAGAAATCTGAAACTGCTGCTTAATTACAGTCGAATCTCATTAATTTGAGTGTGCTTAAATAGAACTTCCGGTTAATTCGAACTCACGATGACATCCCATGAAAGCTATGTGCATTCCTATGGGCGAAAACGTCCGGTAATTCGAACGCAGAAGCACTTGCGACGGTTCATTCGAGCATACCGCATTCCGAAAATGCTCTCAGCCCCCTGCCCGATCCCGCGGCGGCACCTGCGACACCTCAACGCTGCGTGCGAAGGAAAGGAAAAGAAAGAAAAGGCTCCGGTGGAATGTTTGCTCTCTCTCAAATGCCGATCTGTGACGCGCTTGTGTCACGCTTCTCCCTTTTCCGTCCCCGCCACGTGAAGACCCTTCTCCTTCCAACGCCGCACACGAACAGAGAGAGGAAAAAAAAAAAAAAAAAAAGCTGTCGCGGAGTTGAGTGAATGTGTGGTTGAAGGAAAGGAACAAGGCACTATATTTTGCAGCCCTTGCAGGAGCATGGCTCTGCGCCTTGAGGGGGGGGGGGGAGTCTCTCTCACGCACTGGTGCCAGGCTTCCTCCTTTCCCGTCCCTGCCGCCTAACTCTTCTTTTAACAACTCGCGCGCTGTTCTGTCTTCTCTCCTGCTCTTCCTGCTTGACGTTATGTTTTTTGCGCCTCAGTCTTCTGCACCAAGTATGCACCAACTAGCCCAAAAACAAGTCCTTTTAGAGCACAAAAAAAAAAAAAAAAAAAAAACTGCCGTGGAGCATTGGTTTAATCTCAAAAGCCGATCTGCCTCTCTCCGCGTGGAGACGCTCCTCCTTTCTCGTCACGTGCTGGCCATGGTGCGGCTCTGCTACGCAGTCGTTGTCGTCTTTAGAGGATGTCGGCGCTGGACATCTCCGCGCGCAACTTCTCTTCCCAGGAGAATGCTGAAGCGGAAGTAGAAATGCTTTGCAAGCTGGGTACGAAATTGATTGACTTGCTGCAAGGCAAACGTGTGCAGATGCGCATCACCGATACTTCAAGTAATAACGGATGTCCTGTGATTTGTGAATAAATGCAAGTCTTCTGAAACTTCCCCCTCGTGTGTTAGCTCAATGCACATGCGCCACTGCATGTGCATTGAGTCAGTTTCGCCACAGCCCTCTCTCTGTTTATTTAGCTTTCATTAATTCAAACAAATTTTTGGGCCCCTTCGAGCTTGAATTATCGATATTCGACTGTATATTACTAATGAAGGCACTGTTTTTAATAAAATTATGATAGTTTTTTTTATTTTGTTGCACGCATCAATGTGTAAGCTTTCAAATACTGCAAAAATTATGAAAATCCGACTACTAGATCAAAAGATACCGTGGGCAATGGCCTTGGACATGATGAAACATGATGAAAAATGTTTTGAGAAAACGAGAAAATAAGTTTGGGGACATGGTGAGCATGTATATTCAACAGGTAATGGCATAAACCAGTGCTGCAATGATGTCAGAAGTCACCAGGAGTATAATCGTCACCATTCTCCATGCAATTTCTATTCATTGCATGCCAGATGTTTCCAAGGTTTCCATAGTTTGGATCGGCATACAGCGTACTGACGAAGCTCGCGCAGTCATCAGTTACTTGCGCCGCACCCTTCTGCGAGGCAGAAATCATTTGCACTTTCGTGTAACCTTTACAGTCGAACCCTTTTATTAAGAGACAAAGGCGTGTGAGACACCAGTGTGCCTACTGTAAAACACGGGTTGATAAGAAAATGCATACGAGGTACTTTGCTTATAAGAGACACCTCATATAAAAGACAAGTACTGCCTGCCTCATATAAAGGGGTTCAACTGTATTTCTTTGTGTACATGCATTTCTGTGAAACATTCAGGGTGAAAAAAAAAATGCAATTCAAGGCAGTTTGTCTGTTTGCTGTTCCGCGCCAACCGTGAGCACGACGATCTCAAAACGGGCCACGCGCTGTATCCCCTTGCTCTAGGCGAGCTCCATACAGTTTTGTTCCCCGCACTCATCACACGTCAGCACAAGTTTTGTGGCAATGCCATATTCTCTATCTTTCTTTGAAATGCTGCCAGGCCCGCCACATACACTGACGTAGTTAATTCATTATCACTAAGCTTACGACGATGAACGACGTTCCAGTAGTTGCGGCGCAGTCGCTTCCCAGTCTCGAAAAACAGACCGCTCGCGTTGTGTGGCTGACATTGACGAAAGGTCTCTCAGAATGTCACTCGCACGACACTCAAGGGCCACTTTTTCAGCGTCGGAAACCAAAGAAATGCCGACGCAAAGATCTCGCGTGCGATCGTTGGCCCTAGCTATCACATCCGTGATCGTGAGAGCCACGTTCGGTGTAGTGTTGGCACAGCCAGCTTTTTCCGTGTTCTTGATAGTGTTGGCACAGCCAGGTTTTTCCGTGTTCTCAGCGACAGAGGGTTTCGCTGATAAGACGCTGCATGCTCTCAGATGCCGTTTTTGCTTCTTTCCGAGCGCATGAGCAGTATGAAACTTTTGATGACCGCCTGTCATCGCACGGATCACACAGCGGTCGCATAGGCATCATCACAAAATGGCAGAGTGCGCACCGCTGTCTAGTAAACGACTCCCTTGACATCCAAAAGGGAACCGGGAACTGCCTCACGAGATAGAAATGGACCAATCATGTGAGAGTACTTGGTTTTTCTTTATTTGCGATAGCAGCATTGTTGCTAGACAAAAAGCGTCCTTCTGCTAGGAACAGACAAAAGAAAAATACGTCTTTAAAATGAGACCAAAATGACTGCGCTATTTGGCGTAGTTCTCAGATGCCGCAGCATCGAATATGACTGCTTTTTGGGTGGTTTCGTGAGTGGAAATTATCACGAAATTGACTTTGAGACCGAATCGCTCGACAAATAAGCATTACATGACAATAGCATTTTAGGAACACCTTCTCCAGGCCCTGTATATTATTTAAAAAAATACATAAAATCGGTTTTTCGGAAATTTTTGTGCCTTCGAGACTAGTGGCTCCCGTTAAAAAAAAAAAACACCCTAATAAAGCGACTTTTACAATAAAAGCAATGCTACATTTACCCACGTGACATTGTTCAGGCAGACATCCAAAATGTGCAATGCAAGGCCAAGATCGGCCGGCCACTCACGTCTCCTCCTTGCCAGCTGCTGCTGTAGGCTGCCCTGTGCTGCCTCCCTAAGCTGGATAACCACCTTGAGCACCCGCAGGAAAAATGCTTGTGACGACATCTTGGAGGTGAGCGCTCCCATCGAGGGGAGCTGCAGCTCTCTGCCACCCTTGGGAAGCCGATTGCTCGGTGGGGCCCCAGGACCAGCCACAGGGCCACCCGGTGCCGTGATCACCACAGTCGAGTGTGTGAACCGGTCCTGTATGGTGCCCGGCGTTGACCGGACGCCCGATGTTCCTGTGATGACGATCGAGAGCCACATATGAGACGAGGAAGACGCGCCACACTCCCCAAGCATTTCGTAGCGAGGTCCAAAGAAACGGGAATGCGAATTTTCCCCCTCTGTCGTACAAATATAAACAAGTTCAAAGTTCGAGGGAACATAGGAAATTGCACTCTTGGAGCCGATAGCACAAAATACGAAGGAACAAGCCAGGAACAGAGACGAGTTGACACTCATCTTTTCTTTTTGTTCATCACGTCTTTGTATTTTGTGCAACTTGCTCGAGAATGCATTCTTACAGTCTGGCCAAACTTCAGCTGGCATTGTTGGTGTAATCTGTTCATTAGATCAAGAAAGGCACAACACAAGACAACATATAAAGGACGAAGGTAAGACAAGATCAAATGCCCTGTGACCCAGTCTAACAAGAACAAGGAAAAGAATGTCATCTTTTCATACTTTTTCCGATTTGACGATCAACCATGCGAAAAGCAATTACAAAATTCAACCAACTGTAATCAGCAAGTTATAATCGCACAATTTTCTTGTAACAAAAAGGACTGGGCATCCTGTGACGCCCGCATCATTGTCTAGTCCCTGAAGCAATGGAAAGGAAAACCTGCCTTAGCCATCGACCCACGAGCTGTGCCACCCAGAGTACTAACCGGGCTGTGGCGAGGAGACGGTAGCAGCACGTCCCGCGGCGTAGGCATCGTCCCGCTCGTTCTCCTCCAGGGCGAGGCGCTCCGAGGCCAGGCGCGCATTGAGCGTCCTCAGCTCGGCCAGCAGGGCAGCAATTGAGGTTTCGACGGTGGCACCGAGCGACTGTGCTCCTTCGAGCAACAGCCGCAGCACCACTTGCCTCGCCGAGGGGCACCCACGGGACAGCCGTAGCAATAGGGACGTCGCATCTTCTAGGCCTTCCTCTGAACAGGCCTTGGATGTCAGCGTCTGAGACAAATTGTCACGAAATACGGCAAAGAAATCAAAAGGGTGACGGAATAAGCTGTCATTGTGCTGCGGGCACAAACGAGCCAATAACCCACCTCGACTGCGAGCTTGAGATGCTGTTCGAGCACCACGTTCTCGATGTGTGGAGAGTCGTCTTCCATGGCCACAGCCTCCGTGGGCTTGCTCGGTGCCGCCTTTTCTGAAGCGGCGGGTGCTGAAGCTGCGGGTGCCGAAGTCTGTGCTGCCGGTGCAATGGGCACTACAGGTGTGGTCGGCAGGAGTGGTGACCTTGACGATGCAGCTGCGGCGGCTGCTGCAGATACAGCTGCTACTGATGACGCCAGGGCTGCATGTGACCGAGTGCCGTATTGTTTTTAGACTGAACATTGCAACAAGCTGGTGCAGTGCTGGGCATGCTCAGAGTGATACTTAAGACACGTAAGTGAAGCTGAAGGTGACACGTTGCCTGGGAAGACCTCATTCCTATGAACTGCAAATGGCAGCCAACAAAAGCGCATGATTTGAAAGAAACATTCTGAAAAAGCACATAAACGCTGTTACAACACTGTCACTACACACATAACGGCAAATCAATTAAAATCTGAATAAAATGACGCTAAAGACACAACTTCAATGCAAAGAAAGTAACTACGCTTGCAATATCAGTTATTGCATTATTCGAACAAATATTACAGTATTCAAATTCACTTTGATTCGAACTTAACTAATTGGAAATTTCGAAGTACTCGAAATGAACAAATAGGTGCATATTAGTCTGCATGTAACACCCTGAAAGGGTAATTTTGCTGCAATAAAGGAATGCTGAGCCATGAAAACACCTACATTGGAGAAATCTGCAATGCCGTGAAGCCCAGACTTCATGGTTAAACGATTGCTATAGACGCTTATTTTCTACAAGTGCACTCAATCCTCAATATAACAAAAAACTTACACCATCTCCGAATAAAGAAAACCATGTGTAGATGTGAAGCAGCAGGTGCTAACGCTTACACTGGCGGCAGCGTTTACGCTAGCGCTCATCGCGGCGTTGCACAGGTGAGAAACCTTGAGAGGCGCAAAGCACGCAGTGGTGGACCGGTTTTACCTACTGAAACATGCCAATTGCTGCTAATTGGCAATGAGATACAGAAGACGCCAATTGGACACGAAGACCCGCAGTCCACTTTTAGTTAACGTGCACGCTGCGAATTTTCACTGTTCAACAACGCACAGGAGAAATCTCCACCCAGCACTACCTTGGAGGTCAAGATCCGGTGTTTATATATACGGGGTGGCCAGGGAACGATTGTGTCGGGTGAGCACTGGGCGTTTTTAATCAAGAAACTCGTTAACCGATGCTGCATGTGTCAGCGTTGCGAGGCGAGAGTTACGGAGAGACGAGGGGGAGAGGGTGCGCATGAGCTATGGGGCTGTAGATGCCACGGGGAGGGATGCCTAAAGAAGAAAGAGGGGGGAGACGGGTATAGGTTAGCATATGCTGCCTGCGTCGGCGTTGCGATGTGATGACGATAGTGCTGACCGAAGACGAAAAAACGGCATCCATCACCGCGTCTTTTAAAAAGCAAACAGGGCCTCCGAAACTTAAAATATGGCGTGCGCATTCTAGTCTCGGAGGCAGGAAAGGCATCTGAAGACCAAGCTTAGCCAAGCCGACGGAAAATCCAACATGGCGGCGTTCACTATGGCTTGGGGCGTGGCACAAAACGAGCGATTTAGTCCGAAAAATCGAACTTTCAGGGGCAAATTCGCCCGAAAAATCGGTCGAAACAATGCATTAGCTCTATGGGATCCCTGACGGTGCATTTATGAAGTCCGGAATATCCAACAAGTCCGAATTTTTGGAGTCCGGAAAATCGGTCGGCGACTGTAATCGGCAAGTGATAATCGCACAATTTTCTTGTAACAAAAAGGACTGGGCATCCTGTGACGCCTGCATCATTGTCTAGTCCCTGAAGCAATGGAAAGGAAAAACTGCGTTGGCCATCGACCCACGAGCTGTGCAACCCGGAGTACTAACCGGGCTGTGGCGAGGAGACGGTAGCAGCACGTCCAGCGGCGTAGGCATCGTCCCGCTCGTTCTCCTCCAGGGCAAGGCGCTCCGAGGCCAGGCGCGCATTGAGCGTCCTCAGCTCGGCCAGCAGGGCAGCAATTGAGGTCTCGACGGTGGCACCGAGCGATTGTGCTCCTTCGAGCAACAGCCGCAGCACCACTTGCATCGCCGAGGGGCACCCACGGACAGCCGTAGCAATAGGGAAGTCGCATCTTCTAGGCCTTCCTCTGAACAGGCCTTGGATGTCAGCGTCTGAGACAAATTGTCACGAAATACGGCAAAGAAATCAAAAAGGGTGACGGGAATAAGCTGTCATTTGTGCTGCGGGCACAAACGAGCCAATAACCCACACGACTGCGAGCTTGAGATGCTGTTCGAGCACCACGTTCTCGATGTGTGGAGAGTCGTCTTCCATGGCCACAGCCTCCGTGGGTTGCTCCGGTGCCGCCTTTTCTGAAGCGGCGGGTGATGAAGCTGCGGGTGCCGAAGTCTGTGCTGCCGGTGCAATGGGCACTACAGGTGTGGTCGGCAGGAGTGGTGCCCTTGACGATGCAGCTGCGGCGGCTGCTGCAGATACAGCTGCTACTGATGACGCCAGGGCTGCATGTGACCGAGTGCCGTATGTTTTTAGACTGAACCTTGCAACAAGCTGGTGCAGTGCTGGGCATGCTCAGAGTGATACTTAAGACACGTAAGTGAAGCTGAAGGTGACACGTTGCCTGGGAAGGACCTCATTCCTATGAACTGCAAATGGCAGCCAACAAAAGCGCATGATTTGAAAGAAACATTCTGAAAAAGCACATAAACGCTGTTACAACACTGTCACTACACACATAACGGCAAATCAATTTAAAATCTGAATAAAATGACGCTAAAGACACAACTTCAATGCAAAGAAAGTAACTACGCTTGCAATATCAGTTATTGCATTATTCGAACACATATTACAGTATTCAAATTCACTTTGATTCGAACTTTAACTAATTGGAAATTTCGAAGTACTCGAAATGAACAAATAGGTGATATTAGTCTGCATGTAACACCCTGAAAGGGTTAATTTTGCTGCAATAAAGGAATGCTGAGCCATGAAAACACCTACATTGGAGAAATCTGCAATGCCGTTGAAGCCAGACTTCATGGTTAAACGATTTGCTATAGACGCTATTTTCTACAAGTGCACTCAATCCTCAATATAACAAAAACTTACACCATCTCCGAATAAAGAAAACCATGTGTAGATGTGAAGCAGCAGGTGCTAACGCTTTACACTGGCGGGCAGCGTTTACGCTAGCGCTCATCGCGGCGTTGCACAGGTGAGAAACCTTGAGAGGCGCAAAGCACGCAGTGGTGGACCGGTTTTACCTACTGAAACATGCCAATTGCTGCTAATTGGCAATGAGATACAGAAGACGCCAATTGGACACGAAGACCCGCAGTCCACTTTTAGTTAACGTGCACGCTGCGAATTTTCACTGTTCAACAACGCACAGGAGAAATCTCCACCCAGCACTACCTTGGAGGTCAAGATCCGGTGTTTATATATACGGGGTGGCCAGGGAACGATTGTGTCGGGTGAGCACTGGGCGTTTTTAATCAAGAAACTCGTTAACCGATGCTGCATGTGTCAGCGTTGCGAGGCGAGAGTTACGGAGAGACGAGGGGGAGAGGGTGCGCATGAGCTATGGGCTGTAGATGCCACGGGGAGGGATGCCTAAAGAAGAAAGAGGGGGGAGACGGGTATAGGTTAGCATATGCTGCCTGCGTCGGCGTTGCGAGGTGAGAGAGGGGCATAGCAAAGAAAAGGAAAGGGCACGCATGGGCACTCGCTTTATGGTCACACTTGAAGGAGACTAGAGGAGGAGAGTACCGTATTTACTCGCGTAATCCTCGCACTCGCATAATTCTCGCACCTCCCACATCGCCCAACAAAAATATTTTTTTTTTTCTCGAGTAATTATCGCATCCTCGAAAACTGCCGCAAAAATGCAGTCTGCTCGTTTCAACCGCTGATGATGATAGCGTGCGCCATCTGGCACCACCTCTTAACCATCAACAGTACTATTGCACAGAGATTTAATCCAAGCCAAGGCGAAATGGCAAGTGCATGTTGCGGTGTTTTGTATGTTGCGTCGGTAATCTCGTCATATTACGAGGCGATACTGAAGCTACATGGCTGCTTTCACGTTGAAAGTGATAGATCATGATCTAAGCAACGGCAACAGGGCCGCCGGTAGGCCCTTCAGAGTCTACGAGTTTTGTGTTCGCTACTGGTGACGGCAGCTGAAAGCCACCAGACGCGTCGGGCCTGCCGTGTGCCTAAATCTGGGATTGATGGTAAACTTTCACCAGACGCGTCGGGCCTGCCGTGTGCCTAAATCTGGGATTGATGGTAAACTTTATTTCTTCAGAAGGAAACTGCGGACGATTCTGTTAAATAGCCATCAGCCCAATACTGACGTCCTACGCTTACTTTTTGAGGGCTCCTTTTGAGCGACAAAAGTTATCGCTACGCCCGCAACGCCGACAAGCTTTGCGTATGGTATTCTAATTCTTGACTATTTGCTTCCACTTGTTGTGTCTCTAATAAATATTGTCTTGTGTTGAACCTCTGCTTTTATTGTTGAGGTAAGTTGTAATTAGCACTTATTAAACCTTCCTGTTAGTTGCTGGGGTGAGAGTCCGGATTTGAGGCCACTTCGTTTTCTTTTTTGCTCTGTACGTTTTCGTGGAAAGTTTTCCCCGCGTAATTCTCGCACCCCCAACTTTGCGTCGGTTTTCCGGCAAAAAAAAAGTGCGAGGATTATGCAAGTAAATACGGTAGTACATGCACCGCGAGAGCAGAAGCGAGAATGCAGGAGAAGCGCAAGCAGCTGCTAGGAGAAAAGTGAAGAGAGTAACGCGCAGCTGTTGAAGAGGAGGAAGGAGAAGGACAGTTGCACGTGCATAGTGCTAGTGCGGATGCCTCGGGACACAGATCCAGGCAAGAGATGCTCTGCATCTAATATTGGTTATAACGAAGTAAATAAATGTTTTGCAATGAATATAGCGTAAGGAATAATTGAATTTCCAGATAAACAAACTTAATTTTCATGTAAGATACAACTTTGTTATATGAGGTTTGTGTGTATAGTAAATTTTAAAACCCGTTAGACCGTCCATATGTGTTCTCTGAAAATAGTTGAGAGTATTCTTGTTTTTTCTATTTACACACTTTCAAGGTGGATTTCTATTTTTTGAAAACAGTGCTCGCAGGTGGCCCTTATTTTTACCGAAATTCCAAATTGCACTGCAATCGATGGTCATGTCATCTGGTTTCCTGCCCACATGGGCAAGGATGTCCACCCTGTTATCCCTAATGCCAATGAGTCTGCCCGTGCCCACGCACGCGCACTGTCCCATCGTGACAGGCCTCCGATTTGGGGGAAGGCATCCAGCAGCTTGATTCCCTCCTCACCTTTAACGAAATATGTAAGCACTATCACTTGTCCAGGCGTAGGTTCCTTCTTCCGCACCCGCAACTCTCTGAGGGCCCAATCACTTTGTAAATGCTGCAAACCGGTACTTACCTGTCGCCCTTAGTTTACAGAAAGTTTTTTGACAGCATAAAGCCTCACTGCCCTCATTGTGATAAGAGACGATGCACATTATCCCACATTCTCTGGCAATGCATGGCGCTGCGCGATGGCGAGCCTCTCAGCACAGAGGACGCCTGGAAGGCTGCAATCGCCAGCTCGGACCGGGCTGTCCAAAGGGCCCGCAGTTTGGCGGAGGGGCATGCCCTTCCTGTCTCAACGTGGGTGCGGCCCGCAGCTTACCCGCCCTCTTGAGGGGGCATAGACTTTTCAGGACAATTTGTGAATAAAGTTTATTGACTGACAGCCACTGTCTTGCCAAGAATGCTATGTCAAGTATACAGCATGCAAGCCTTTTGTGACCTCTAAGTACTCAGTAGGTACCTGCAAGGGTGCCCACTCTGTACTCATTTGAGGAGCAACTGCGAACTTTCAATCTAAGGGCGCGTGTGTACCATCTTGGCAAAAGCATCAGCCCACCGCTCGTAGTATACCCTTCCATGTGCTGCGCTCCCAACACGGAGAAACTGTGAAAAGAGCATCTCTCCCTGGAGCAGATGTACAGTTGAACCCCTTTATAAGAGGCATGCTCCAGGCAGCAATTCTTGTCTTTTATATGAGATGTCTCTTACCCCCCGAAGATCAGTCATTGTCATTGTGGTCCCGGACAATTTTCACCAGCGCCTAATCTGACATATAAGAAAAAAACTACAACCCTGAAATGTCATCGAGAGCCACTCGACGCAAGCGCAGTGAAATCCGGCACATGCACCCGACATCCAAAATGAAAAGCAAATGACACGGATACCATAAATTAAAAATGACACAGAGCAAGATTTTTTTTTGTGTGTATAGTAAATTTTAAAACTCAGCATATTTCACAGGTATCACTTGCATTCTAACATAAGCCAAATCTCACCACTAAAGTTGTTCCCACTTTTTTTTGAACAAAAAAGGCATTTGTACATGCCTTGTTTTAATTAGCAAAGATATTGTACAGGTATGTTTATCGTGACATATATGCCCATTATTTTTATATGAGATATATACTGCTAGAAATTATTTGAACCAAATGTCTATTTGCACAAGCCTAAAAAAAGAACTTCAATGGCATGTAAAGGCATTAAATGTCGATACAAAGTAAAGAGTGAATAAGCAGAGACGTTAGACCGTCCATATGTGTTCTCTGAAAATAGTTGAGAGTATTCTTGTTTTTTCTATTTTAACACTTTCAAGGTGGATTTCTATTTTTTGAAAACAGTGCTCGCAGGTGGCCCTTATTTTTACCGAAATTCCAAATTGCACTGCAATCGATGGTGACGTCATCTGGTTTCCTGCCCACATGGGCAAGCATGTCCACCCTATTATCCCTAATGCCAATGAGTCTGCCCGTGCCCACGCACGCGCACTGTCCCATCGTGACAGGCCTCCGATTTGGGGGAAGGCATCCAGCAGCTTGATTCCCTCCTCACCTTTAACGAAATATGTAAGCACTATCACTTGTCCAGGCGTAGGTTCCTTCTTCCGCACCCGCAACTCTCTGAGCGCCCAATCACTTTGTAAATGCTGCAAACCGGTACTTACCTGTCGCCCTTAGTTTACAGTAAGTTTTTTGACAGCATAAAGCCTCACTGCCCTCATTGTGATAAGAGACGATGCACATTATCCCACATTCTCTGGCAATGCATGGCGCTGCGCGATGGCGAGCCTCTCAGCACAGAGGACGCCTGGAAGGCTGCAATCGCCAGCTCGGACCGAGCTGTCCAAAGGGCCCGCAGTTTGGCGGAGGGGCATGCCCTCCCTGTCTCAACGTGGGTGCGTCCCGCAGCTTACACGCCCTCTTGAGGGGGCATAGACTCCTCAGGACAATTTGTGAATAAAGTTTGTTGACTGACAGCCACTGTCTTGCCAAGAATGCTATGTCAAGTTTACAGCATGCAAGCCTTTTGTGACCTCTAAGTACTCAGTAGGTACCTGCAAGGGTGCCCACTCTGTACTCATTTGAGCAGCAACTCCGAACTTTCAATC